AACCTCCGAGATCATCCGGTCTGACCGTCAGCCCAGCACCAGCGTCCCCACTAACCCATGTCCTGAAGTGCCACGGCTACACGTGCTTTGAACAGCGCCAGGGATGGTGCATCCACCCCTTCCTCGGAAACCCGGGTCCTGTGCTTGACCACTCTTTCGGAGAGGAAAGTTTTCATAATATCCCATCTAAACCTCCCTTGGTGTAACCTGAGGCCATTTCCCCTTGTCCTGTCACCTCTTACTTGAGAGAAGAGACCGGCCCCCACCTCACTACTCCCTCCTTTCAGGTGGTTGTAGAGAGTAAGAATGTCTCCCCTCAGCCTCCTTTTCTCCAGGCTCAACAACCCCAGTTCCCTCAGCTGAGAACTCATCACACTTGTGTTTCAGACCCTTTCCCAGCTTCGTTGCCCTTCTCTGGACACACTCCAGTACCTCCATGTCCTTCTTGGAGTGAGGGGCCCCAAAACTGAACACAGTAGTGGTAGACTTTTGGCAGCTTTGTGCTTTTTCATAGCAGTGACCACAAAAGGCTGCTCAATGTGTTTAGTGCTAAAAGATGTTTGAAAATAAGTGCTTAAAATATAGTCTAAAACTTAAAATAGCCAAAGTCTTGATTGCATTTTACGTTGCTAAACTTACTCTTTAGAACATTTCCTCTTGCTTTGGATGTCGGCTCTGGAAGAGGTTACATAGCTCAACATTTAACCAAGGTACTGGCTCTTCATACTTCAGAGTGCTTAAAATAAGTATGTATTTATTCCTCTGTTTTCAAATAGAGCTCTAGTGTAACTTAAAATAATCCTATGAATTTTGATGAGGTAACTTTTTTTTCCTGTCATATCTGTAGCTACCATCCAGAAACGTGTGTTGTGCAGGCTGTTACTCTGCTGTCGCTGCAGACTCGATGGAGAGTAGTGCAAGGGAAGCAATCTGTTAACCTTTAGTCTTGAGTAGGGTTATGCATGTTTTTCAGTCAATCTATTGGAGGTACTTAGTTGTTAAAGAGAAGTATTGTTATAGAGACTTCTAAGTGGTGAACAGTTTACCCTTTGTAAACCGTGCCTGTAGTAAAAGTACTTCATTGGCTGTTAATCCATGGTTTATATCTGACTGAACTTACACCTAACAATGCAGAATATGTTTTCTGTTGCTACTTTTATCTCAGCTATTCTCCCTAATATAATTGCAAAGTATTATGTTGGGTGAAAAATGCTTTCTACTTTACTTAAAGTTTTATCAAGTGTTAAGGAGACTGCTTCCAACTTAATATAAGTATCTGTAAGCATTAAAAAAAAAATACTAATCTCAATTTATAAAACACATATTTTATAGACTTTTAAAATTTTATTTCAGGAAACCGTTGAAAAATTTATTCAAGTTGATATTGCAGAGAATGCTTTAGTAAGTAGCTTTCTGAATGCTAATGTTCTTTAATTCCATAATACAGGAAAGCATAAGAAGTGAGTTTCTGATGTTGCTTTTCTTCTAACCCAACATTAGAAAAATGCCAGAGAATCTGAAATCCCTACGATCAGTGTTGTAGCTGATGAGGAATTCCTTCCTTTCAAAGAAGATACATTTAATCTTGTTGTTAGCAGCTTAAGGTATGCATTAATCATTTACTTACATTTTTTTTTTTGGCTAAACACCTTAAATAATGTTATTTGAGAGTAACTTTAAGGAGAAAAAAAGAGAAAGATAAATAGTCCATTAAACAGTGATAAGTCACGCTGTATGAAATGTACTTGTTTATTTGCTATGAGTCTATGTTAGGGAAAAACTGCTGTTCTGATGGTTCTTATTTTTTTTTGTTTGCTTGTTTTCCTTCAAGACATATGTAACTTCTTTTTCCTGCATTTTGACTAACTGGGCTCCAGGACTTACATCTTTTCAGCTTCAAAGAAAAAAAAAAAAAAGAAAAGCACTATTTATATAAACTTTAGTTTTTATTCAGTATCACTTTTAGGCAAGAATTCCAGAGCTTTTGCAGCTTGAGAAACTACCTTGTTGCTTTGGATTCTGAAACGTATTAGATAATGTAACTATTATTTGCATTCCCTAAATTGTATTTAACATGCAATTATAAAATGTACATTTCTATTGTTTCAGTTTACATTGGGTGAATGATCTTCCTAGAGCTTTTAGAGAGGTAAGAAACTGTTCTTTAATACTAAAAATCAACCCTTGCCATTACTTGCCTTCAGAGCGCTCTGTATTTCCAGGTCTTCTTTAAAAGGCACAAAAATAGCTCATATTGCACACAAGTATTTTTTGCAGTATTTCTGGCAGTTTGAGGAGCATCAGTTGATATTTCTACCAATTTACTGTCTCAAATTAATTTGGAATAAATAACTGTGAAGCAGCATGTTTGTATAATGTTTTGTGGTCTCAACAGCTGAGATCATGGTAACTAATGTGAACTGAGGCAATGCTAGTGATTTCATTGTGTGTTAGCTCTTACTACTTGTAGTACAAGAGTTTTCTAATTCTAACTTCTCTAGAACTGGTTTATGGAAATTGTATTATTTTTATATCTCAGCTATTTATATTGAAATATAACTTTAACCTGTTAAAGGCTTTTTGATTTTTTTTTTTAAATGAAAAAAATACTTGTTGATGACAGAAAACTGAAACTGTTACTGAAAAAATCTGATTTTTTGATTATTTTGGCTCCTTCCTGCGGGTGAAAACTTTTTTCAAATCAGCTAACTTGGGAGGAGCAAGAGCAAGGAATATTTTAACCAGTTTGCTGTTTTTCCATTTGTTTTACATTGGCCAGTCATTACAGTGCTATTCTGTCACCTGTTGGTATGAATAGGAGTACCTTGCTGGTATGGAAATAATAAAAATAGAAACTGGAATGCCTTCAGTACTTATTTAACAAAAATTTTTAAGAAAGTTTGGAAAGAAATATATCATTTTTCTCTGGAATTTAAGTGTTTTATTGAGTGCAAAATATTTTTACCTCCACAGTATAACTAACTGACTCATTATAATGTCCCACAGAGGGGAGGGCACTGGGGTTCTTGGCCAACTTTTGTCGTGACTGTTCATTTCCTACTTTGGGACCACTAGCTTTAACTAATGAAAACTGCCTTCAACTGCTTAAATTTCTTACTTGCCAATTAAAAGCTTCTTTATTAGCATAGAAAAGGTAGCTTAATAATTAAAAACAGTTTAAAATATTTTTGTTTCAAATCAATAAGGTAAGCTGAGGATTTTGCTGTCTTGTTAGCCTAATGATGTAATATGGCTCTTCTGGATATCTAAACCAGGGATTATTGTCAATTCTTAAGAAAAAAAGAAAGCATGAGTTTATTGACCTCCTCAGTAGGAAGGGGACTAGGACTTAGTAGACAAGAAAGCTTGTCAACTGTGGCTTTTGAGTCAGGATATTGCTGTTCTGGCTAGTAAAAAAATAAGTATGGGTAGATATAATTGCTTTACTCTGTTGTGCGTTCAGAAACGCGAAGATCACGAGTGGAAAATGAGGCCTCAGTTTCTCTTAAATCAAGGCAATAAAAAAAGTATTTTTGTTGCCCTTATCTGATAAAGTGAAAGTAAGCAGAAGGTATCTTAATCTAGCTTATTTTCAGAAGTAAATTAAGTGGGGATATTGTTTTAGGAGTATCCCACTGAAAATAGTTTTACCCTAGATTTCCACAGTGTGTTTTGTGTTTCCTGACAGGGAGTGTAATTTCTGGAGATTCACTCTTAAAAATTAATAGTCTTTTTTTCAGACAGATTATTTGCAGCGTTATTAAAAGTTTTGTTGCAGCTTGCCTTGTGAAATACAGTCAGTGTTAAAAATATGTTACTACTATTGGAATAATTGCTTTTAAGTTAATTTTTTAAAAAAAAAAGGTCCAAAGAACTTCTTGGCTATGTAGGCTTAATAACAAAAAACCATTTTTTTTCTGTATTGTAGATTCACCAAGTTCTTAAGCCAGATGGAGTGTTCATTGGTGCTATGTTTGGTGGAGACACTCTGTATGAGCTTCGTTGCTCTTTGCAGCTGGCAGAATTGGAGAGAGAAGGGGGATTTTCTCCTCATGTATCACCATTCACTGCTGTCTCTGATTTGGGACATCTGCTGTCGAGAGCTGGATTTAACACCCTGACTGTGGTAATTATAAATAAGGGAACAATCAGAACAATCCAGAACATCAGAGCTGCTGGTATATATAAAAAAATACTATTTACAAATGTATTTGTAATGTACTGCTTCCATGTTGTGCACCTTGCTGAGTAAGTTTCTGAAATAGCCTGTACTCCTGTTCTCAGCTTCACTGTGATTAATGAAATCAGGTGAAGTGTATCTTTGCCTAGAGGCCCAGTAGAATTTGGATGGTGGTCTTCTAGAAATGTCAGAGAATATTAGACCTGCTTGAAAAAACTTTAGACAGTCTTGCTGTTTCTTCTAAAACCAAGAAGAAAATAATGGCATTTCAGTTAAAATGTGATTGCATTTGGGATAGTAAGCAAAACTTTTTATAAATATTAAAGACAGTATATTTGTCTAAGAAATACAGTTTGAACTGAAGTGACAGATGAATAGTCTGTTAGCAGCTCTGAAGGCTACCATGATGCTACTGTTTTAGCTTGATATATTCTAAAACTAAACTTCAAAATTCTTTCAGGATACTGATGAAATTCAAGTCAACTACCCAGGGTTGTTTGAGGTTATGGAAGACTTGCAAGGCAAGTATTTACTTTGTGGAAACATAAATGTTTTCTATATCAGTGATACAACTACAGAATAGTTTCACTGTGTGTTTCTTAACTCCAAATCACAGAATAATTTGAGTGGGAATGGGCCGTTAAAGGTCATCCCATTCAACCCCCCCCTGCAGTGAGCAGGGACACCTTCAACTGGATCAGGTTGCTGAGAGCCCTGTCCAGCCTGACCTTGAATGTTTCCAGGGATGTGGCTTCTACCACCTCCCTGGGCAACCTGGGCCAGTGTCTCACCATCCTCAAGTGTAAAGAATTTCTTCCTTACAATAAATAAATAAATAATAAATAAAGCTTATTGCAACAGTGGAAGCATTACTTTTTTCCTGATCTCTAGTGAGTCAGGAGATTAGACTTGTTGGCAGATTTGTGTTGGGAAGCAGAAGTCAAAGATTTGCTACTTCACGGTTGGCTATGAATTTTCTGCTTCCCTTGTATTCCCATTCTTTGTCTGCCTGTTCAGTGTAACCTGCTGAAGAGCCCTGAAAGGGAGACAAAAGCACGTACCTCACATACTAACTTTTCCTGTGAGCCTCCCTAATTATCAGGACGTTCAGGAAACTGCTTTGAAATGAGAGTAAATAGACTTTGAAATTGGTGTCTGCTCAGGAATGCAAAAACCAACTGAGATGCTTAACAACTGAGTATTCTGATTACATTTGTCATGGGTTGTAAAGTAGTCGTTCATACGCAGTGGGTTGTTACTTACAGAGTAATTCTGGGCATCTTCTTACTATGGATCAGCTGCTGTTGTTTAGAGTAATTCCTTAATGAAAATAAAACTTTCATTCTCTGCAGAAACATTTAGATGCAGTACATGATTAAAGGTACTAGATTTGTGGTTTTTAAAAATCTCTCGAGATAGTAATTTTGATGCTTATCTGTTAAAAAAAATACGAGTGGTGTGTCTAAATAAACACTTTGTACTCATGCTTAAAATTATACTATAAAACCTAAATGTTTGAAGACTTGGGCTGAAGAAGTAATTATTTGAAATAATTCCTAGCAATACAAACTGTAGATTGTAAAGCCTTGTCACTAAAATACTTGGATTCTTATGGGTAAGAAACACACCTAATTATCTGCAATATGTGGTTTTCTTTTACAGTGAGATTCAGAGGATTCTATACTTATTCTCATTTAGTAAAAATCTGTCATTAGTGCATGACACTTAACTCATGGCATATGCTATATCTTCTTTTTCTTAAAGATGAAACATATTTTTAGGTATGGGGGAGAGTAATTGCTCTTGGAATAGAAAACCTCTGCTACACAGGGAGACGATGTTGGCAGCTGCTGCAATATACCGAGGTAAGTATTTGGGAAGTAATGAGTTAATCTGAAATAACTTTAAGAACGTATTTTCTATGTCTTTCTCTGACCTCTGTGTGGAAAAAACCCCAGCACTTTCGAATAGAACAAAATACCATTACCATACAGATATTTTAAACCTTAATTATAATGACAGGATTTGAACTATGTTGATGCACCAGTATGAGATATTTTTATTGTCCCAAATCTTTCACCAAGTGTCATTATGATGAATATGTTATACTTAGTTCTAATGTTTGGAGAACTAAGTATTTCTTAGACCTGACATTCTGTGTACCTTTCTTTTTCATTTCCCTCCCTGCCCTGACAGAAATGTACGGAAATAGCGATGGTTCAGTACCTGCCACCTTTCAGATCTACTACATGATTGGCTGGAAATTCCACGAATCGCAGGTAATGTGAACCTGAACTATTTTCTGTTTGAAGGTACTTTTTAAATTACTGATGCTTTAAAAGCTTTTTACAAAATATTTTAACTTAAAATTAACAATATATTTTTTTTCTTCTTTTTTTTTCTTAGGCAAAACCAGCCCAGAGAGGTTCTGCAACAGTTTCATTTGGAGATCTGGCAAAAATACGTGGCCTTCCTTCAAAAGGAAAAAAATAGTTCTTCATCAGAAATAATAGTTGTCTTGAGGCTTCTATAAAACTTCTTGTTGCAGACACTCTTCACTTGTGCTTTTTTTGTGACAACATTCTGAAATTATAATAATCTGCACAGAGCAGATTTTGGGGTTTTTTTTACTGCCTGTGCTACAACATCAGCTGTGGAAAATGGTGGTCATTTTTTGTTTCAAGGGAAACATTTGAGCGGTATTCTCAGTGAATACAAGCTCTTCTGACTTTTGATTAAATTACTATTCTAAAACGTAATGCCTCTTCCAGCATTTCAGTATCACAGATTTTTCCAGGTATGATTTGAAAGTCTTGAGTGTATATCACCCTGCATTGTTTTTTTAATTATCCCTAAAGGATGGTGGATCATAATAAAGAGTAGTACCTGGTGGCAAGTGTATTCATAACACATCCTATAAGAGAAAATATAAGAAAATATGCAGATCTAAATTATTGTGGTTTCTGTGGGTTGGAAATTATGGGTAAAAAGTTACTGTCAGTTACTGTTCGAAATGTGAATGGTTGCATAAGGAAGTGGTTAAGTTCTGTATTATAAAAACATCTCATGTTACTACCCTTCACCTACAGCCCTCAAATTAAGTTACTTTTCCTTCCACTCTCAAAGCTAAAAATGTTTCTGAATGTGAATTAGTAGAGCTCAGCCATAAAGGTGGATGCTTCATTGTATGTATCGTGATTTGACTTAATTTACTGAAAGGAGCAGCAAGCACAAGAGTCACCTAGCACTCAGATGGACATGCACATTTCAAATTAATTAGTTTAGAACTGGCATTCTCTTGACTTGGTACTCTTTTGGATTTCCCTGGCTTTTTTTCACATGTTCTTTTTATCTCATAGCATTTGAAAAATTAAAGGTGATACTTTATCTAAATATTAGCTACAAAATACATTTACACATTACTTTCTGCTTTTCTGCTATCGGAGGCTGAAAGGCCTGAAGTATCCTTTTTTCTCCTTAGCTGTGACAAGGATCTATGACATCCTGTAAATAACTGCATTACTAGAAATTTGTTAGTTACAAATATGGCTCATTAACCTGAGGTGTTGAGAAAAAATATCTACTGAGAGATTTCACTGGATTCTAGTACTGATAGAGAATGATAGCAAGAAAAACCATGAAGAATATATAATCACATATACTGTTCAGTCAGTTTTATCATCGTATCTAGGTGGTGTATCAATACTGGTGAAAGGAAAGCTGCTCTAGGCTTTTTGTCAGATTATCCAGCAGGTGGAGTTGGACAGAATGGTGTGGCACAGACCAAATAGGCAAGGTAGGCAGAAGCCTTCATATTCTGTCAAGGATTATTGAATTATGATTCAAAGACTAATACAGATAATTAAGTTACTTCCTACTACTTAACCAATGTTCAGTTTTCAAAATAACAAATGCTGTTTAAAATGAAACTATTCATGTGATATTCAGCTGGCTAGAATGTCGATTTAAAGGCCTAATTTAGTGGTTTATTTTGTCTACCAGGCTTTGACTTTGACTAAGAAATGGACAGAGAAGGTACAAAACGTCATGATAAGGAGGGTAGGAATAGTCTTTCTTGCTTTTGCTTACAAGCCTAATCCATAATTATTAAAGGAGAATGAGTTCCTCTTTCACTTTCCTTAGAAGAGAACAGTAACCCTCTTGGAAAACGGGGGAGAGGCTGTAAGTGGTCTGATAACCTTTAAAGCTCTTTATCTTAAGACTAAATCTAAAAGAAGAGTTTGTTTGTCTGAAAGCCTCCATTTATTTTATAGTACATCGGTGGACTTGATGCAAGGTACTGCATTTTTCTGCAGATCTTTGGCTTAAATAAAATTCGCTTCAAGAGGAAAATCTCCAGTTTCCCACATGCAGGTTTCTATTAAGTTATGCATCAAATCACTGTAACTTTATGCATTTTTGCTTTAGTAGGTTAATTCCAAGTCACTTGAGTCACTGGTTGTGAGTCAGATGTGTTAAGGGAATGAGGAGGTGGAATGTGCTGGATAAATGTTAATTGAAGTGGTCCTTTACTGTGCTTGTTTGAAGCATTCAGTTAAGTTACAGAGAAAAAGAAGGATTTCCAGTTCTTTGATTTCATATTCCATGATGGAATACCTAAACAGTAAAGCCGGTAAGAACTTGGTTTGGTGATGGGGAAATGTACCTTCTGAACAGGGAGAAATAAAAGAGTAGTTTCCTTCCTAGCACCTGGTGGAGGGGGGGGAGTTTACATATTCCATTAACTTGGAAAAGGTCTGGGGAGTAGTAGAAGTGAGGAGTAAGAAATATGATATTGGAGCAGTGTTGGTTGGAATTAGAGGGCATGTGGCTGACAGGGAAGGTGTTCATTTCCCTGGCTGGCTACATTTGAATAACTGCCTCGTGTGTTTTTAACTGCATTTTGTTTTCCTGTAGTATTTCTTCTTGGGATTCTAGGTTGCTTGTTTTCCACTAGTCACTTTCTTTGTATGGCACTCAAATGAATATTTTTGAAAACAGTTAATTTACTATGAAAGATATTTTTGTCATATAAGGCTCTGTTATATTTTAATTCTTTTTTTCAGATTTCAGTCTTTATGGCTTTCTAAAATTGTAATGAAGAGGAATGTGGTTACCAGTTGCTGGTCTAGAAATTATTTTAAATTCTAAGTGCATGTTAAAAATCAGCTTTTGCAGAGTAAGTAACTTCTAAAAAGTAGTTGCTAAGGTGACATAAGTCTCCTGTAAGCTTAGTTAGTTTTAAAATCCTGATGCATAATACAGAATGTTTTTCTCCTGATTACAGAGGAATCAAAAAAAGAATTCTGCGAGATAATTATTTTTACTAGTCAGAAGTTAGGAGCCCATAAATTAAAAAAAAAAAAAAAAAATTAGAAGCAGCACTTTTACACTTAATGAACATTAGCATTTTTGAGCCTGAAAAAGGTTATGAGAGTCTGAGTCAACAGATCAGTGAGCATGCTTGTTCAGTATCCTTGATTAGTACTGGATCAAGATTACAGGAGACAGCTTTATGCAAGTCTGCTTAGGATATAGGGATGATGAAGAGGCCCTGCGTTTTGTAACCCAAGCGTAGGTTTTGCAGATCCTATGCTTTCAAAAGACTCTGTAAATTTGTGAAGTTAAAACGTGGGAGAGGATTCTTGATTACCTCTAATTTATAAAAATTTCATCAGCAAATGTACAGAAGGGAACCATGCAAAGTTAAATTTAACTATTTTTTTACTCTGCTTAAAAAAGAAATATGGATGACCCCTTTTTTTTTCCCATTGTTTTCTAGAAGTGAGTTAAAACTAAACTTTGTCAGTTGCAGGGGGAGAAACACACCAGTCTTTTATATGGTATTTAATTGGAATTTCCTCTTGCAAAGATCTGATCTAGTGGATTAAATTCATTAGAGCATCTTGTTCAAGAGGCCACATGAAGGAAGCTAGCATAGATAGTAAACCTTTTAAGTTTTAATTTGTCTAAACCAAGAACTTAATATCCACTTTTCAAAGACATTATCTATTTTGGTTCAGGTTTTGGAGACTCTTTTTTGGGGGAATACAGTTATGGTAGAGTTTGACTGGAATCAGTCTGAGCACTAAGGCAAATGTGACCTGTATAGCTGTTTGGTTGATTTCACAAATATCTTAGGTGCCCTCTGGTGAAGGAAAAGGAAAAAGAGAGTAAGAAAAAGAAAAACCTGAGACAGTTAAGTTTTAGCCGAAGGCTGCGTATCAGTCTGAAGTAGAAAGCACTGAAGAGACCGCATCTTGCTTGTCGTAGGGGAAAACTATGTGGCTTAAATCAGGTTAGAATCAAAGTGGTTTGTTGTTTTATTAATAGCTTGTAATGAACTGTTAGTCTGTGAACTGTACATGCAGGATTAATAGCAGCAATCTAACAGTTAAATGAGTATTACAAAACTTTAGTAAACACCTTGAGATATCTAAACACTCTTCTACAGCAGTCCCCCACAAGTTTGCAGTTACATGCTTGCCTCTATCCCTTTAACAGGAGGATTGGGTTATAAGAGCCCACCTTTCTAGGAGTACATGCTACCCTGTTTGCATCCACCTTTGGAGATGTGGATGCTGTAGCTGCATGCTGACCTGTGCTGTTCTCTGTGCTCCACTCATCTACCCACCTGTTAGGATAGGACCCCACAAGGTGGTGTGCAGACACCCCAGGAGTGGTCTGTGCTGCTTCTGCCCTATGCTGTCAGACCACTGGCAGGCATGCAGGCTACTCCTGGGTCCTGGGAGAGTGCTCCCACAGGCCTCACCAGAGCTTGGGATGCCAGGAGGGCATCTTCTCAGTGTCAGACCAGGTGTTGGCTGCTTCTCTTCTCACTGTTAGAAATGTTAGGGCCATGAGGATCATCCAAGGGCTGGAGCACCTCTGCTGTGAGGACAGGCTGAGAGAGTTGGGGTTGCTCAGCCTGGAGAAGAAAAGGCTCCAGGGAGACCTCACAGTGGTCTTCCAGTACCTGAAGGGGGCCTACAGGAAAGCTGGGGAGGGACTTTTCATAAGGGCAGTTAATGACAAAACAAGGGGAAATGTGTTTAAACTGAAAGAGGGGAGGTTTAGATTAGATATTAGGAAGAAATTCTTCCCTGTGAGGGTGGTCAGACACTGGAAAATGGGTTGCCCAAGGAAGTTGTGGATGCCCCCTCCCTGGAAGTGTTCAAGGCTGGGTTTGATGAGCAACCTGGTCTAGTGGAAAGTGTCCCTGCTGATGGCAGTGTGGTTGGAACCGGATGAGCTTTAAGGTTCCTTCCCGCCCAGGCCATTCTATGATTTTTATACTTTATTTTAAGCTAGCTCTTTTTTTTTCCCCCCCAAAGGTTTCTTGGTAACTGCCTGGTTACTGTTTAGTGTGGCTGATGGTTGTCTTCATTTTCAGCCTTACTAGGTTTTGAGCAAACACCATCTGAGTTTTGGATATTCTGTTCACACTCATTGCACTTGTATTTCTATCTGATGTTGTCCAGGCTGTTTTGCTA